TCTTCCCTGCTCTCCCATGGAATTTTCCTCTTCTCCTCAGGACATCAGTCATTTTTGGATTGGGGCCAACCCTCATGACCTTGCCTTACCTTCAGGAGAGCGACAAAGATTCAATTTGCAGATAAGGTGACATTCACAGGTGCCAGCAGTTAGGACGTCAGTATATCTTTTGGGACAGGGTGGGAGGCACGATCCAGTTCCTAACAGCACCACCCTTTCACTTTTGCCTGTTTTATAAGGAAACTTGTTATATGTCCTTAATACAAAGGGAGCTATAAGGCCAGACAAAGGAGAGTCACTGAGGGAGGGGAGTTGTGTGAGCAGAAAATGAGATGGGTACTTCTCAGGCTTGAACTTATCTAGTTTATGGATTTTGTTTGGATAGTAAAAAGGAATCCTTCTCATTCTTCCTCTGTGGGATCTGCTGCCCCACTTAGAGTCAGCAATGGAGCAGCTCTGGGGGCCAGTGGGACTAGGCAGTCTGGCTGTTGCCTTGGTGACAGCCAATGAGAAGAGTCAGTTCTCCAGGTTGCTTCCTACCAGAGCATCCATTGCTTCATTCATTCAACAAACAATCGTCGAGATGCTAAAATGTGCTGGGCACAGCCTTAGGTGGAAAGACATTGTGGTGAACAAGAAAGAAAAGAGCTTGCATTATACTGGGGGAGACAGAGAATATCTAAGTATCCAGATAAATCATTTCAGATAATAGGAAGCACAGTTAAAAACTAAAGCAGAGTATTGGAAGTGAAGTGAGACCCTTCTGTAGGTAGGGTCTCCCTGAGGAGTTTGCATTTGAGCAGAGATTTGAGTCACAATTAAGAGGGAACCATGCAAAGATTTATGGAAGGAACACTCCAGGTAGAGAGAACAGCAGGCTCAAAGACAGTGAGGAAGGTATGAACTTGGTATGTTTGAGGAACAGCAAGAAAGCCCCCCCTGGAGTGAGCAAGGGGGAGAAAGGGGAAAGAGAAATCCAGGGAGATAGGCAAGAGTCTTGTAAACTATTAGGATTTTTCCAAAAATACGATGACAGCAGGGGAATTTTTGGGCAAGGAATATAATTTGATACATGTTTATGAAAACAGATCACGACAGCTGGAGGGTGACTGAATTATAGGGGGCAATAATTGAGGCAACAAGAAGACTCTGTGGGTATAGCTCAAGGAAGAGATGATGATGGATTAGAGGAAACTGGGAACAGTGGGGATGGCGAGAAGTGATTGCCTTGGACTTTGTCTTTAGGGTATACTGGCTTTGATGTAGGATATAAGGAAGTGAGTTAAGGATAACCATGGGTTATTTGGTTGGATCACTTGGTAAATTCTGATGCCATCCCCTTAGAAGTTGTCAGGGGGCAAATCTGGGAGGAGGTAAAAATCAAAAGTCCTGCTTGCTGTTTGTCATGATCACTAAAGAAGCGATCAGCTTTATTGAGGTATAATCCATATCCCATACAATTCCCCCTTTGAAAGTACACAGTTCAGTAGCTTGCAATATAATGGGTCTGTGAGTATTTTGGATGTGTAATACTGTTTAACACAAGCAACTTTAGAACATTTTCATGATCCCCCAAATCATCCCCACACACCACAGCTGTTTCCCCCTAATCTTCCCCACCAGCTCTAGGCAACTATTAATTAACTTTTATCATCTATAGATTTGCCTTTCTGCATATTATGGACATGGAATCAGAGACTATGTGGTTCTTTGTTGCTGGCTTCTTTCAATTAGCAAAATGTTTTCAAGGTTTATCTATGTTCCACTGGGTATCAGTACTTAATTTCTCTTTGTTGTTGAATAATATTTCATGGTAAAGATATACTACATTTATTTATTCAACATCAGATGAATATTTTGGTTGTTTCTACTTTTTGGCTATTTTGAATTATGCTATAAATATATGTGTATGTTAGCATGTGAACATATGTATTCATTTTTCCTATGTAAATATTTAGGAATAAAATTGTTGAATCAGATGACAATGTTTAACTGTTTGAAGAACCATTTGACATTTTCACTAGTAGTAGAAATTCCTCCATATCTTTTCCAAATGCTTATCTGTCTTCTTGATTCTAGCCGTTTTAGTATGTGCAAAGCAATATCTCATAGTGATTTTAATTTGCATTTTCCAGATGGATAAGGATGCTGATCATCTTTTCATCAGTTTTCTGGTCACTTGTATATCTTCTCTGGAGAACTGTCTATTTATACCCTATGCCCATTTTCAAACTGGAACTTTTATTATTTAGTTATAACAGATTTTTAGTAGCTACAAGTCCCAATCAGATACAGAACTTGCAAAAACTGTTTCTCATTCTTTAGGTTATCTTTTTTATTTCCCTAATGGGTATCATTTGAAGTATGTTTTAAGTGTGGTATGTTTCAATGTTATACTTAAGATGCCTAGTAAGTAGTTGGGCATGTAAGCCTAGGATTCAAAGGAGAGACTGGGGTTGGAAATACACATTTGAGAGTCATTCAATTTTAGACATTCAATTCCATGAATCTGGATAAAAATCACAGGAAGTGAGTATATTTCTCTGGAAGAAAAAACTGAGGACTGAGCCCCAGAACTCCCCAATATTTAGGGGTGAAGAAGAAGCAGTGGAGAGATGATCAAATGAAGCTACCAGTTTCTGGAGAAACCAGGGAGCTAGGTCATGGTCAAGGGGAAGGTATACTGGGATATGACATTTGGTAAGACAACTCTTGCTGCTGTCCCCACTGAGACAGGTCCCAGTGCAACATCCTATCACACATAGCCATGTGGTCCCTCCATTGACATTTTATGGGCCTACTCTGTGATGGTTTTCTTAGCCTAATGGGATTACACATCCAAAATCCCTACTCAGAAATACACTTATGGGAGCAGATTGAAATATTAGTTATCTAGGAAAGATTTATGACCTTGTTGAGATTAACTCTAGTTAATGGATGTGATGCTGCAAAGCTATGACAGAACATACGTCTCACTTTATTTTTTAATGGAAAGAGCAAAAGCCCCATCCCACAGGACCAGCTAACTACATAGAGACTTGGAGGTACAGAGCTCTAAAAGACCTACCCAGACCAGCCTTTTCCCCTTGCTGGAATCACTGCAGCTTTTAGGGAATCTGGGATTTCTGAGAAGAAAAGAACCTTGAGAAGAGTGGTCCAAAGCCACTAAGGGCTGATGAGGTGCAGAGAGGGAACCTGGCTCTGAAAACACAGGGGGTTTGGTGTCCTTGCTCACAAGGCCCAGCTAGGCTTGGGAGATCCTATTTTCTGCAAAGTGTGTGATTTTAAGTTAGCTTAAATATAACATGTTCCAAGCAGAAGGAAAAAAATCTTGAGTCTGATGAAGACCCAGCATGGAGGCAGAGAGGACCCCCCTGGGGCCAAGCTGAATTGTTGTGAAGTTGAAGAATCAGCTGAATCAAGAGTCAGTTTACCTCTTAATCTTTCTATTCAGCTTCTGGATTGAGTAGTATAGTTCTTGAGCAAGAATTTACCTATTTGTTCACGTTCTTTTTCATCTGCCAAGGGACCAATATATATATACAGGGCCAAGTGGGACAGTGGCTTGCATACAGAAATACCCGGAAAATAGGGCAGAAACCAGCCGAACATGTGGGTAAGATCTTCTCTCTTAATAAGATGTGTTGCTAATTTGGTGACCATTATTGGGGCTCCCTGGGTCAAAGTTGTCTGGAGTTTAAGGATATCCGAAGTGAGAGGGTGGGCAAAAAGTGAGAAAGGCAGGTACTTATTCTTGAAGAGGATTCTGAATTGGTTCCTAGGAAATGAGGGAGGGTTATTGGGAGTTTTCTTTTTCTCCTCTGGGATTTTTCTTGTGGGTGTTGCAAGGGTAGTGTTGAGGGGCAGGGGCTTGGAGGTAGAGTTGACCAAGTTGGGGAGCTTAAATCATGTAGAGCTCGTTTGGTATAAATCAGAGGTTCTGTCATTTCCCGATTTCACATTCCAGTTATAAATAACATTCCTGGGTAGAAGTGGGACAAATAAGCAATGGGACAGAGATCTCCAACCTGGAAATTCTCATCGGGAAGGTTCCGTCTCCAAGGGGTAGCATTTTATCTTCGGAGAATGGTGTGTGTGTGTGTGTGTGTGTGTGTGTGTGTGTGTGTGTGTGTGTGGGGTGGGGTAGAGGTGTTCCCAGAGGAACTGCAGGAGAGGCCAAAATATTACTAGAAAAGGAGAGTGGGTTTTTGACAAAACCATCAAGAAAGTCACGCAAGGAAAAAAAAATGGTTGAGAATTTCCCCTATGTGGCAGCATTTGCCCTGCAGAACAAGGTTTGCAAATAGACTCCCCAAACCTCAACCCTAATCTCTTTAGGGATCCCTTTTCCTGGCACCTTCCTCCTCAGTTCTCTCTTCCTGCACCCCAAAAGCGTACACCCAGTTATAAGGTTCCGCCTAACAAGAAGAGACAGAGGTACAGGTGGTGAGCAGGGTCTCAGCCATCATCTCCTTCAGGTCCCCATCCGCCGCTCCCCACCCAGTTGCCAGAGCGAATCCCGAGTAATTGTTTTCCGAGGTGGTGCTGGGCAGGCTCGGTGGCGCCGCCTCGGTCTGGGTTCCCCGAGGACAAAAACCCACCCACGAGGGCTCGGCGGCTTTTCGACTTGGCCGGGATGAACTGTGGCAACTTCAGCAGCTCCCACGGCCACGCCAAGGCAGAGGCGGCGACAGTGGCGAGGGCAGTTCGGAGGGAGTGGAGCGCGTGAAGCCTTGCGCCTCCAGCTCCTCCCTTACGGCCGCGGGTCCCGGGACTCTCCCGCTCCGGTGCTTTGGGTGGTAGCTGCAGCCGCGCCTGCTTCCCGGATCTTCGCTTCTCTGTAGGCGAAGGAAGCGAACTGGATCGGCCCCGCTTCGAGGGCAACCTGCCGGAGTGGCTAAGCCCTGCCCTCCCGCCCCAGCTCCTAAGGCGAGCGCAGCCGCAGCGGGGGCCGGGGCCCGAGCCCCGCGCCACCACCGCCCACGGTGGGGGGGCGGACTGGGGGCGGGGCGGCCGGGACTGCCATCCCGGGCGCGATCCCCTAGCGCAGCACCCGGCGCTGCCGAGCTACCTCCCCTGCCGCCCGCTAGCAAGTTTGGCGGCTCCAACCCCGGCGCGTCTCGGGATCTCTAGGCGCATTTGTTTCTTCCTGGCTTCGGTGCGCCCTGCTTGGCGGGGACCCTCTCGAGCAATGCCGATGGATGTGATTTTAGTTTTATGGTTCTGTGTGTGCACTGCCAGGACAGGTAAGCAAGGCTGGGGCGGGTGGAGGGATACGCGGAAAAAGGGGCGCCGCTGCTGTGCCTAGCGTCCACACTGGCGTGGGAGACCTGGAGCCGAGCTCCGCGCTGGTCCGGAGAAGGGTAGAAGGGTGGATTGGTACCTTAGATCTCTCTGCCCGGTTTGGGGTGAAAGGGCAGGAAACCGGACTCATGGGCTACTAGGCACCCCAGTTGAGTGTCCCCTTCCCGGGGGTCGAGGCAGCGGGTTCTCAGGAGTGAGGGGCGTAGCTGAGCTGTCGCACCCTTTTGCTGCTAGTAGCCCGCTTCTAGGTTCTGGGGAGGCGAAACCCGCAGGAGGGCGGGTCTCACATCCCCGAACTTGAAAGGCGCTGTGGAAACAGCTCTCCAGGAGACCCGCCGGCGGGGAACCGGCGACCGCAGGACTTGCACCCTCAGAGGGAGCGCTTCCGGCCGGCGGGCGCGGCCCTGGCCGGGCCGGGGAGGGTGAGGCGCAGCTTGGGAAAGGGCTGCGGGGGAGCCCGGGATCCGGCGATCTCATTTTATCCTTTCCTGACTTTCCCCGGGGGACTCCAGTAGTATTGTCCTCCACCTGCCTCCCTCCCCAAGGGCTGGGCGAACAATTATTCCTGAAATTGGAGCAGTGGAGACAATCCTAGGAGATTTTCTCAAATCAGTTTTCCCTTGATATAATCGAAGGTTGTGGGGTGGGGAGCAACTGGCTAATTGTCTCAAGTCCCCACTTCGTTCTGCCACCGGAGATGCAGTTGTAAGGACTCTAAGCGCACCGCTTCCTTGCGTTCCCGAGCCCCCTGGGGTTCAGAGACTGGACATAGCCTTCTACTTCAAGAAACTAGTAGTAGATGCTGGAAGACAAGGAGTGGGAGTAGAGTTGGGGGTGGTGGTTGGAAATTGGTAAAATTAGGGCCTGCGGATTAGGGAGTGTTGGGGATTTTCAGTTTTAAGCCAGCCATCCTCATTACACGTTGCCCACTGTCTTTGAACCCCACAGCGAACATGTGGTCATTTCCTCTCCCTTTATCTTCACCCCTTTACCATTCCCATGCCTCTTCTCAGGAAGTATAGCCTCCTTCCCAGGACAGGGAGCAACTTCATCCGGAAAGTGCTGAGGGGTGCCGGCCCGGCCCCTCGTTGGCTCAAAAGTTCCCTCTGCTTGAGCCCCAGGCCCCCCCCTCTATGGCAGTTAGTCCATGGAGATACAAGAGTTGGGCGTCTAGGAGCTTTGAGCTGGCCCTTCCCATCTCCCCAGGACTAAGCTGCTTTCCTTTGCTTAATTGAAGAGCGTCAAGGAGAGATTTCTCCAGGGACAAAAGAACCATCATGCTTTTCTTTATCAGAGTTTCCCTGACTGCAGAGAGGTCAAGATTGTTTTAAATCTAGAATAGTTGCTTCTTGAATTCAGGTGTTGTTGGGATGGGTTAGCCTTTTACAACCAAGAATGCACTGGAAAGGACGAGGTCCCAGAAAGATGAGGACTGTTGAGGTTAGGGCAGAGTTTGGGCTACCCATCAGGCGTATGGAGTCTGAGGCTGGTGAGCATCTTACAGAGGAGTGGAAGACAAGGAGACACTAGATGGGGGAGAGGCATCCCATGGGTCAGTTTACACTCTTAAGTGCATATCACCAAGTCATGTGGAATCTGTCTAAATCCTTTGTTCACATCACTCCTTTGAAAAGTTGCCAAAAAGTTTATCTGTTTTCAGGGTTCATTGCTTGTGGAGGAAGTCTTTAAAAACATGGTCTTATTCTCCTGCTCAATCCCATTTCCCTTTAAATCTTATACATATTTGGTTGTGAAGGAAGATTCATTCATTCATTTATTTTTTCATTCTTGCTAGGTGACCAGTAACTTAAGGGAAAATGACTTAGTTCTTCATTACCAAGAACTTACAGATTAGCTGAGAATCTAGATAGAAAATGGAAAGCATTTTGTGTTCTATAGTTGATGGGATGGTGGGAGGTGGGGTTAAAGAAGTTTGTATTAAGGAAATACAGAGGAGGGAGTTTGTGAATTAATTCTGGAAAGGTGGTGGTATCAGGGAAGGCTGTACTTGGAAGGTGATATTTGAGAGTTGTGTCTTGTAAACTCTGAAGGGATAAAGTGGGAAAGCATCCCTGGCAGAGGGAAAAGCTTGTGCAAGGACTAAGAACATGGATGGATCTGACCCACTGGTTGTGGCTAAAGACTGGGAGCTTGGGTTTTCAGTGCCACTTGGTACTACTTACACACCAGAAGGCACCTATTTCTCCTTCAGAAATTGTCAGAAGAATCAGAGATGGGGGCGGGGGATTTAATTCATACACTTAGAATTTCTTGTAGCTTAAGGGAGTAGCTTTCTGGGGACAATCTCTTTGATTTTGCCCAGAAATCCCCATTCCCACATCAGACATCCATCCTCTTCTTTAGGTAGCAGAGGATGGCTGGTGATGAGTTTATCAGGATCCAAACAGCTGCTTGGGAAGTTTATTTGTCAAGTGAGACAATTGTTGTCTGAGCTGTTAACAGTCCTAGATGAAATAAACATGTGGTTCACTTAGTGAGCTGCTCAGATATCACCGCCTTTTAATGGAAATGAATAGATGATATCAGGCACATTTTAATTAAAGCAAGACTGCAGTGCAGAAGCAGTTACATATGAAAAGATCTAATGATAGGTGTCCTAAGGAAGCTGCTTACACTGCTCTCGTTCTGAGAACTTGTTTTAGGGTGCAAAGTCGAATTAGTTAAGATAGAAGACGCTGTTCTCCAGTTCTTGTTCTTATTTCTGGGTGAGAATCTGGGATTTCCGGGTAATCATTAATAATGAAAATTTAGAAGCCTACAGTAATAGCAGTAATAGCCCACCACGTTCATGAATCTTCTCCAATGGCCTGGAAGTATAATATGAGCTCAATGATTATTCTGCCACTGATTTCTAGTTTGTTTTGGTCTGCAGGGTAGGGGGTAAAGGAAATACCTGAAACACCAATGCCTTTAGGTGCCTACTGAATGCCTTTTGCTGCCACCTGCTGGAAAGGAGAGATTTTCTTTTTGAAGCAATTCCCAGGTGGTTCATTAATTATGAATTGAATAATGGACCGGTGACTATGTGCCCCCAGCCTTCAGTGATCATGTAAAATATCAGCCAACTTGGAACAAACATAAAGCATATTCTTTGAGAAAAATGCTTTTGGGGTATTAAGAACCGATCAAGTGGTTGTGAAATCCTGCTGGTAAATGAGGTCTTAGAGCATCTTTTCAGCATCATTTTACTCTGCATGGACCAGGGAGACAGCTGCCACCATGGGCAATGAGCCAGATTAGATTTGAAGTGAGCCAGACCCAGGGGATTTGCCTGGGAGCCTAGGTCTTAGACATCAAAGGTGGACTAAGTGGGCTTTGGCCTCCAGCGCTCCTTGGGCAGGGCTAAGGAGTGACTAACAGCAGCAGGTGTCCTGGCTAAGGTGAAGTTTCTGAATCCCAGCGCCAGGCCTCAAGTGCCTCTGTGGCTTTGACATGCTGCCTTCCAGGTTTTTAAAATATCTTTTCCCCAGGAGCTTTTTATCCTGCTTAATTCTAATTCCCAGCTTCAGCCATTTGTAGAGACTTTATGTCAAAAGTTGAAAATTTTAATAGGGTTTCCGTAGGAAAGGGCAGGAACTCCATGCTTGGACAAGAAACAGAAACATTAAAATAAAAAAAAAATTGAATGGAACCAACACTCACACTCCAAAAGGTCTGGAGAGGCCATGTAAATGCTGCCTTATTAATAGGTTTTCTGATTCCCTAGGCAGTGAGCAAAGTGCTATCCCTTACACATCCTGCTGTTGGCACTGGGCATTTCCATCCTGAAGGGTAACAATTAAAGGGAAAGAAGAAAACTGTATCCAGACGCCTAATTGATTTCTTTTCTCTTGTTCTGTTTTTATGGGGTGTTTTCACAAAAAGAGCAAAACATTTATCAGCTTGGAGAAAGGCCTTATGTAGCTTTTGCATTATTTTAGTGGAGTTGAGCACCAGGGAAAGTCTGGAAAACTATGTCGTATGAAAGACAGATGGAGTAACCTCAGCTATATACCAACTAGGTGGCAGCCTGAGCTGGAGTGTTCAGGTATTGTTGGGGGAGGTATTATTTTTTCCTTTTTACAAATGAGGAAACTAAGGCTCTGGGAAGTGATTTTTCCAAGGGGACAGAATTCGTAGGGGGAAGAGATAGGACAGAAACCGGCTATTAGCAAGCCATCCAAAACAACAAGCATTTATTTTAGTTCACATATATGAGGGTTGGTCTGCTTCTCAAGTCTCCATACTCTTTGACCTGTGTGGCTGCAGAGCCATGTTCTTCTCATCAAGATTCAGATGTACAGGGCTGGGGTTGTGGCTCAGTGGTAGAGCACTTGCCTTGCATATGTGGAGCACTGGGTTCCGTCCTCAGCACCACATAAATAAAATAAAGGTATTGTGTCCATCTACAACTAAAAATTAAAAAAAAACAAAAAGATTTAGAAGTACAAGAAAGTAGTTCCTTCATGCAAGCACATTTAAGCCTCTACTTGTGTAATGTCATCAAGATCCCAGTGGCCAAGACAGATTGAATGGCTGGGCTTGAAGTCAAGGGATGGGGAGATTTACTCTCACTAGAAGAAACTGCAAAGTCACACAGCACAGAGGGTAGATAGGGGGAGGCCAATAATTCAGTTAACCACAGTCTCTTTTGAAAGTTTCTCTGACCTGTATGCCATCCCGTATTATCATGTTGTCCCCAGATAAGCATATTGCTCTGAGATCATTGCTCCCAAAGCAATGATCATGCACCCACGCATTAGATAATTAATCAGGTCCTAAATTAAAAGCCTGTAATATGTCAGGTCTGGTGCAAGGCACTGGAGCAACAGGGATACTTCCTTCCTTTTGTGTCCAGCTAAGGGCACATTCCCCAGGCCATTTTCAAAATTCCTGGCCAGAGAAAGACCAGCTTGGAGGTCCTCTGAGATCACTCTTGATTTAATTTCTGCCATATAGGTGTAGAACACTATAGATCAAACTGAAATATTAGTTCCTTTCCTGTCTTTTCAAGGTGATCACAGAACTGCTAGCATCTGAGCTCACTTGGAGAAAAACATCACAGGTCTCAACCGCAGGCTCACGGTGTTGTAACTTGGGATGACAGAAAACTATCCATCTCAGTTCTGCTTTGCACAGAGTAGGCACTTGTGAACTGAGACTGTGTGTAGGATGAGCAAGAGTGGGCAGGTAGAAACTTCAACTTTCCTTAAACATAAACGTTAAAACCCTCCAAGGATATCCTCTTAGCATTACAATAATATCCAAACTCCTTGTTGTGGGTGACAGGACCTAATGTGATCTGGCCCTTGCCTACCCTGTGGTCTTATTTTCTACCACTGTCCCCTGGCACATTCTGCCACAGCCACACTATTCTTCTCCATTCCTTGAACTCTCCAAGTATGTTCCTTGCTTGCATTTGCTGATCTCTACCTGTGAAAAACCTTCCCGGCAAATCTTGCTACTTCTTGTCATTTGGGTTTTAGCTCAAAAGAACCTTCCCTGACCTCCTCATCTAAAGTAGGGCTCCCTGCACAAGATGCTTTCTATCCCATTACTCTTTATTTTTTTTTTCTTGGCATTGTTATCACCTCAAATTATTATTTTAAAAAATCTGTTTGTTTATTGTCTCCCTCCCCCACCAGGAGCGCAAGCTTCACGACGACCTATCCAGTGCCTAGCAATATATTTAGTACATAGTAAGCCCTTAGCAGTGCCTCTTTGAAAACATTGTTAATGAATGAGTGCAGAGTCAGTGCAAGTAAGAGTTGTCTTTGGGTAAACTGATCCCATAACTGGCTGCATTTCAAAGGAGAAAACTTACACCTTCAGTTCGGTAGACCCAGGGAAGCCTGACAAAAATGGAGAGGCCATTATATGTCCTGCACTTTCAATTTAACCAATTTTCTGCCTTGGCAATGACAAGTTGCAGCTCCAAAGTCATTTCGGACCAACCTTCTGATGACAGAAGACTGGAGAGCTGTAGCAGTTCCTGCTTCCTAAAATGAAAAGAGGAAGGAGAGGGTAGTTTTCCTTCCCCGAATCTGTAGGTCTTGAGGGGGGTGTGGGAGGGGGGACAGGGAGGTCCCGATGGCTCGTGATGTTCTGATGAATATTCACTAAGCCTCTGTGGGACAAATTGGGTGCAAGCTCTCTGAATCCTGCCTTGGTGACTGCATTACCATCAGAGGAAAGTTGACAGCTGTTGCTGATTAAAACATTTCCAACTGCGCAATCAGAATTGCACTATTGAGATGCTAAGCGTCGATAGAAACAGCCTTTATGAATGGCTTAAACACAGTCCCTTAGAGTGATCTGTAGCCTTATTAATATATATAATTGGAAATCACTTTGCAATCATGAATGAATCATTCCTCACAATCATTCCCTGGGAGAGACAACCTTGGGGATTCGCCTTTCTCAGACAAGGGAGGAAGAGATTTGGGGCCATGTTTCTTTGCACTTAGATTCTCCAACAAGAGATGTCAGGGTATCTAACTTCCAGAAATCCCCTTGGGTAAAAATATACATCTATTATTCCAAGGATCCTCCTTTTTGGTCAGTCTCTCTACCACCCCCCCCTCCTTTTTTTTCCAACAGGGGCAGGGACCCTCCCCATTTCCTTCCTCTTTATTACAGGTGGTTGGGCCTGGTTAATAGGGCTCACTCTGTGCTAGTGTTTACTGTTGGTGGTTGTATCAGATTTTGCTCTTGCAGCTTCCTTGAAGCAGGAAGATCAGGGTCATAATGCAGTATCTATAGTCTGCAAACCTAAAAAAAGCTTAAAAATCCCCAAATTTCTATATAATTCACCAGATAACAAAATCTATCCTGAGTTGAACTCATTTGGTGGCAAAATTTGAACTAAACTTGTATTAAGCTATTTATAGTTTTTGTGCCAATTAAAGGAAAATATTGTGCATTCCAATCCAGAAATACAGAATTTGATTATGGAGTGCCCATTCCAACTTTGCTGAAAGAATCACATAAAATGTGTAGTATGTAGTATGTAGGACCTTTCAAACATACGATGCATTCTGAATTCCAAAATATATTTAGCCCCAGGGATTTTGGATGGGGGCTTATCCATTTACAGTGGGGAGTGGAGCTGGGAAAAGGTACAAAGAAGCTGCACCATCCGAGGGGTGATAGGACACAATTGCTTTCCTTTGCTCTCCAGGGAGAGGGAGTCTCCAGGAGAGGGAATATCCTTCACTGGCTCCCCTGTGTTCCCTGCCAGTCCCTGCCTCTGTGATTTCTGCTCTATATTTTTGCTGGTCATCTGCCTTTTAAGTCATAACAGCTGTTTGTTCCTTTCCAGTGGTGGGCTTTGGTATGGACCCTGACCTTCAGATGGATTTTATCACCGAACTTGATCTTGTGAATACCACCTTTGGAGTCACGCAGGTGTCTGGACTGCACAATGCTAGCAAAGCATTTTTATTTCAAGGTAAGGGCACTTTCTCCTTTGTATGGGGCAGAGGTCAGAAAGGAGGGCTGATCTGGGAGTGCTCATCTGGTGTGTGAATCGCCTTTGCTATTTTCTTTGTGTAATTGTCCTGAAGAGTATTCAAATAGATATGCAGTGTTCTGAGAGTGGGAGGAGGCACTAGGGGGCGTGGTGGTAAAATATTTGGTTTGGTAGTGAAGTGTTTCTCTGGGGATTTTGGTGGGGATCTAAAGGGGAATTAATTTGCAAAACCCTTGAGAACTGTTGGCCAGTCATGCACTTTTTTCCCCCCAGGGCATATCTCCAGTTGTTATCTCTGGCTTTACTTATATCTATGCACATATCACTCATCTCATGGATAGACTGTGAGCACAGAGGATGTTTTATGGCTGCATTCTCTTTGGGGTGTAGCTTAGTTGGCTCTGCCATCTATAAACTTGATTACAATTTATTAAATTTTTTAAGTATTTGAAAAGTCAGTATATTATGATTCTTAAAAGCATGGGCTTTGGCACTCTACTGCGGGGGTTCAGCTTCCAGCCCTACTTCTGATTTGCTTTGAGATTTTGGGCAATTACGTAGCTTGATTATGCCTCAGTGTCCTCACCTAAAATAATAGACCCTTGTAATAGCTACCTCATGGGGCTGTTACTAGGATTAAAGGAGTTAGTCTATTAAAGTGATTACTGCAATTTCTGATATGTAGTAAATGCTTGATAAGCACTAGGGATCATTTTGAAATTCCTTCTACATACTAGGCAATGTGCTAATAGCAGGGTTACCAGTTAGAGTAAGTAAGATAGATGCAGCCCCTGCTCTAAGATATAATGAAGGAAACAATCACCGCACAGGTCATTATTGAATCAAAATGCCTATACTTACAATGAAGGTGATAACCAGGCTGCCAAAAAGAGAGTAATAGAGGAAGATTTGATTTAACTGGAGTAGTAGATGGTGGCAGAGAAAGGCTACCTTGAAAAAGTGGCATGTCAGCAGAGACTTGAAAAATGAATAAAAAGCCTGGTATAGGAAGGGGTGGGGCTCAGAGCATTCTGGGCAGAGGAAATAATATGTAAGAAGGTCTTAAGGTAGAGACCAAGAGAAAGAGGTCTAGCATGGCTGAATGGTGGCAAGTCGTTGCTGAGGAAGTCACAGGCCAGGTTACACTGGATATTCTGCTGATATGCACAGGTTTGAGTGGACTGATGATTTATGGCCAGTGTCCATTCTGATAGGTAGGAGGCTATGTACTTGTTATTAAGTGTTGTAAATATCACCCCTGCCTGTAGGCCACATTAATGGTTTTGTACTTTACTCTCACAGTGGGGGTGAGGGCTTTGTTAGGTTAAAGTAGAAAAATGAACTGGTCAGATATGGTAGAGAGGTGGATTGAATATTTCTCTATGCAAATGCCTGGCAGGGTTCGTTTAACTCAGCCTTTTATGAAAATGACAAAAGGATTTCTTTAGAATAACTGAACCAACATTATGGAACAAGATTTGCATATTCACTGTGTAGACAACTTAAGGCTTGTTAATGATATATTGCAAATCTGCATGTATTGTATAATGACATGTAACAAGACTACAGATATGTTAATTTTCTTGCTAAAGAGAGAAGTATTTAAGCTGGGTATGGTTAAGAGAATATAGACTTGGTTACTTTTCTCTTTGCATTGTACAAGGTCTGTTCTGTCACTGTTGAGTGTTCATGCCATTCTTGATCCTAGTAAGGCTGCTATGAAAATTTGGCTTCAGGAGGGCAGGGGTCTTGCTGATCTAGATAATTCTAGGTTCTCAGAGCCTACTATTGCACATAGTATGTAGTAAGTCATTAATAAGATTTTTGAAATAAAATTTCCTCTGCCTTGTCTACCCTATAAGAGACTTGCCCCTGCTTATCCGTCACTTATGCTTTTATTCCACAAGTGTGGGCACCCAAGGTTGGACCTCTGCTTTGTAATCTGTATGTTCTCTAATTTGGCAACTGCTTCTGGGATGTCTGCTACGATAACAACTGGGAGGGATTTTCAGCTTCTTTGGGGGGAAAAGTAACTTTGCTTTAGGAGTTTGGGGAGGCCTTTCCCTATATTCTTATCTCTTGTGATTATACTGCGCCCACCTGGATCATCCAAAATAATTTCCTCATCTCAAGATCTGTAATTTGATCACAACTGCAAGATCCCTTTTATCATATGAAGTGACATATTCACAGGTCATAGTGATTAGCTCATGGACATCTTTGGGGAGCCATTATTTTGCTTACCACAATGTCTGCTCTCTGGCCCCCAAAGCTCCATGTCTTCTCACTTGCAAAATACATTGACTCCATCCCAATACCTTCAAAAGTTTTAATTATTACAGCCTGACTTATTTCACTTAATAAAATGTCCTCCAGCTCTAAATCTAAAATCTCCTCTAATCTCATCAGCTGAAAAAAGTTCCAGATTTCATAATCTAAATAATTTAAGTCAGGTGTGGAACTCATTGTGGGAAAAATTCGCCTCCCATCTTTAGATTGCAAAACTAGAAAATAGCTCATCTGTTTCCAAAAGGCAATGGTAGGACAGGTGTAGAACACCGGTTACAGACATTCCTGTCTCAAAGGGGAGGGAATGGAAAGAAGAAAGGGGTCACCAGGGCCAAGCAATTTTGAAATTCCATAGTGCAAACTCCACTGTTTCAAGGCTTGGGAATAACTCCTGGTCTTGTGTGCTTGTGGCTTATTCCTCGGAGACATCGTTCCTTTTGCATGACGACAGCATGGGTATGCACTCAAGTAGTTTCTTCAGCCTGCTGCCTGCTGACTGAATTTTGCTGGGGGTGGGGGGTGGGGGTGGTGGTGGTGCAGTTATCAGCTCTCTTTCATTTTGTCCTTTCTCTGCTCCCTTCAGTTCAAGTTGGCTATTTTTCTGTGGATATAAAATTCCCAAGAATGTTTTAAAAAACATAGCTTTATTTTTGAGCGATACAAAGTGATTGTGCAAATTTATGGGGTACGACGTTATATATCAGTATTGTAAACAACGTGTAAAGAGCAGATCAGGGTTATTGACGTAAACATTGCCTCAAATACTTATCATTTCTTTGTTTCAGGAACATTCAAAATCCTCTCTACTAGCTCTTTTGAAATAATTAATTACTGCCAACCCTAGTTATCCTGCTGTGCTATAGAAAATTAGAGGTGATTTCTCCTCTTAGGCAACCTGAACACATCAACCATCCTCTCTCTCCATCCCGCCCTCCCCCATGTTCTTCCCAGGTGCTGAAAACCACTCTTCTATTCTTTATTTCTATGAGATCAACTTTCTAGCTTCTGCACTTAAGGGAGACCACGTGGTATTTGTCTTTCTGTGCCTGACTTATTTCACTTAATAAAATGTCCTCCAGTTTCACCCACGTTGCTTCAGATGACAGAATTTTATTCTTTTATAAGGGAATAATATTCCATTGTGTATATGTACTGCATTTTCTTTATCCATTCATCTGTTGATGAACACTTAGTATTTTGGTCAGCTTTTTCACTGCTGTGGCTAAAAGACCTGACAAGAACAATTAGAGGAGGAAAAATTTATTTTGAGGCTCATGGTTTCAGACGTCTCAGTTCATGATAGCGGATACCATTGCTCTGGGCCCAAAGTGAGGCAGAATATCATAACAAAAGAGTATGGTGGAGGAAAAGTGGCTCAGGATATGGAACCAGGAGGGAGGGACGGAGGGAGAGAGTAACAGTGGGGGAGGGGCAGGGATGGATCCACTCTCCAGGGACAAAATATATACCCCAAAGACTTATCCCTAAGGACCCACCTTCTCCAGCCATACCCTACCAGCCTACAGTTGTTACCGCCCAGTTAATTCCTATCAGGGAATTAATTTGATGATTAGGTTAAAATTCTCATAACCTAATCATTTTGCCTCTAAACTTTCTTGCATTGTTTTACACATGAATATTTGGTGGGGGGCACCTAATATCTGAACCATAACACCTAGTTGATTCTGCACCTTGGCTGTTGTGAACAGTGATGCAATAAACATGTGAATGCAGATGTTTCTTTGACATACTGACTCTGTTTCATTTGTGTATATACTTAGTAGAGTGATTTCTGGATCACAGGACAGTTCTATTTCTAGTTTGTTTGCTTTGTTTTTTGGAGATGAGTTTTGCTATGTTGCCCAGGTTAGTCCGGAACTCCTGGGTTCGAATGATCCTCCTGCCTCAGCCTCCTGAAGAGGTGAGACTATAGGCATATATTGTTGAGTCAGGCTTATTTCTAGTTTTTTGAAGAACTTCTATAACATTTCCCATAATGGATGTACTGATTTGTAGTCTCACCAACACTGTACAAGAGTTCCCTTTTCTTTGCATCCTTACCTACTTTAGTATTTTTGTCTTTTTTTGACAGCTGTTCTAATGGAGGTGAGATGATGGTCACTATGATATTGATTTGCATTTCTCTGATGATTAGTGATGTTGAGAATTTTTCCATATACTTGCTGGATATTTATATGTCTTCTCCTCCTCCTTTTCCTCCTTCTGACTGAACCCTGGGCCTCACACATGCTAGACCACTGAGCTACATCTAAACTCTTGTTTATCTTCTTTTAATAAATGTCTATTTAGGTCACTTACCCGTGTTAAAATCAGATTCTTAAAAAAATTGTTTGAGTTACTTATATATTCTGGACCTTGATCTTTTCCTTGTTAGATAAATATTTCTTCCATTCTTCAGGTTGGTTCTTCAGGTTGGTTTCCTTGTTATGCAAAAGCTTTTTAGTTTGAGGTCATCCAATTTTTCAATTTTTGTTTTTGTCTCAGGTGCTTTTGGGGTCTTATCCACAAAATCCAATGCCCTGAAGCATTTTAGTTATCTTTTTTTCTGTTCCAATGCCCCGAGGCATTTTACTTATCTTTTTTTCTGTTAGTTTCATAGTTTTGAGTCTTTCATTTAAGTCTGACTGATTTTGGTGAGAGGCCGGGGGTCTAGTTTAATTTTTTTTTTT